CCGTTAGCTTCCTCTACCCACAGACCTGGCATGACCACACACTCCTGTTTGCCCAGGAATCGTCTCTCCCAGAATGATTGTCAGTTGTCATCCAGGTGTGGATGGTACATTTTATGTCTTCCCTACATAAGGCTCTTTCCTTTGGCTTTGGGTTTACGCTTCTTACTGCTTACTCTGCTTTCCTTCCTCATACTTTGAAAGTTAAGGCTTGTCTGAAATAACCGTGAGATTGGGCCCCGACAGAAATGTCTCTCAGTCCTGACAGCTCTGACTTGATGAGGTCGCACTCATCCTCGCGTTGTAGAAGCGTCCCTCCTGTGATCCGACTGTGGTTTGACGCAGGGCTGGCCTTGAGTATCCAAGCCTGTCCCTGCTCACCACGTCCTCACTCTCGGCCTTCCTCCCATTCCAGCAGTCACTGTGGTGGCATTTCTGGGAGACGGATTCCTGGGGTGGTGCTATAATGAATGTCCTGTGGGCGACTCCTCTGGAACACAGTTAGTTTGCAGTTGTCTGGGCTAATGGAAAGAAGTTCACTTAAAATTTGTCAAAACAAGTTATTTATACCAGTACGTTGGATGTGGTCATGTAGTCGGGGCCTCACATTTGAATTTAGGCAAATCCAAAGATGATGGAATATACTTCAAATTAGTTAGTGAAAGAATATCATAAAGCACAACTTAGAAATTGAGACTCAGCTCAATTTCCTAGTCTTGAAACCTTTTTGGTACATTATAGTAAAGCACTAGGGAAAAAACAGCTCAATATCAACCTCAATAAATAAGGATTCTCTTTAGTCCATGCTTTGTTCTAGAATGTGATTGGGTTAATAATGTTCTCCTTATTGTAAAATAGGAACAACAAAAATCTAAAATGTCAGTAGAGTAGAAAATTAAGTAGATTAGGCACTAGCCTTAAGACGCTTTCCCAAAAATGAGTCCTCAGGTGAATGTTTCAGGAAGCTGTCTCAGTTAACTCTCTTCTAGGAGATTCATAATGTGCATTAGAACACTAAAGACTCTGAGAAGTCCTGCAATTAAAAAAATTTAGATTTGTTTAACTTAGAGTTTCCCAAATTTGTTTGACTGCAGACATCGATTTTAATGAAACTTTTCTTACCATTCATTGAAGTGTTCTTTAAGACATACTTTGGGAAATACTAACGTAGTAATCGTTAACAAGTTTGAGGGTTCCATCTTGATGGTCAAGAAAAGTAGAAAATGAATGTATGTATGATTGAGTGTACTTCCTTCTCAGAGCTCACTCATTACTGCAGACAGCCCTCAGAGTGCATGGGATTCCTCCTGCCTCACCTTCCATTCTTCTTTTCTTTTGTGGCAGAAGCAACGTTTCCATGGTAGATGCTCTAATGATTAGTGGGTGAGATTTCACTGCAGTTTTGTCTTCAGGTTTGAATTAAGAGAGAAAACTCTTTTACATTAATTCATGATTAAATCAATCCATAAATCATGGAACTTTTTGCAGATTTAAGACTAACGGATTTTTTTTCTTTTTTTTTTAATGATGTTGTTTACGTCTTCAAAAGTCTTAGTTCCGAAGGAAACACGTTATTGTGGTTAGGGCGAGTGGTGTATGTCCCTGAGCTCTTTCTTTCCTTGGGGCAGGTAACAAGCTCTCCTGGCCTCCTGGTGGCCTGAGTCACAGCATAGTCATCCTGTAACCCTGCTCTAATCACGTCTCTTTTTTTTGGCTAAGAAGAAAAGTCTTAGGCTGAGTGAAGAAAAGCACACTGCTGTTAGGTTCTGCCTGCCTCCTCCTATCCCTCCACTCAGAATCATGTCTCATCACCTGACCCCGTGTTTCAACTGATGTTCTTGCTGCTAGCAGGACACCTCATCTTGTGATCTCTGCAGTGTCCACTCGAGCCAGCTCATCCTTTCATGGTCCTGAGGACAGATACACATGATGTTTCGCATTTGCTGCCTTCCTTTTAAAGAGAATACTGTTGCTGTCTGCAGTATGCAGCCATGTGTACTCGCTGTTGTGAGCTGTGATTCTTAAGGGGCTGGGGAGCAAGGAAACAGAAACCATCTGGGTAATCAGGAAATGTAGAACAAGTCCACGTACAAAAACACTGTGGCTTTCATGGGAGCCTTTCTACTCTCCTGCCTTAGTCATTCTACAAGAAAATGCTAGAATGGGCCCCCACCAAGTGGGTGGGTGTAGTCAGAACCACAGGGCCTGCTTTATGCAGCGCAGGAATCCAAATGAGACATCTGTATTCTCATCTGGAAACTGTAGTGCTTTCAAGATGGGAGTGCCACGCTCTCTAGTTTGCCGTTCACATTTAGGGATTCAAAACAAGTGCATAAACATAGATCCATTCTAGTAACAAGGATTTGCGCATAAAGGGTTGTGGCTTTAACCTCAATTTTCAATCATAAAGGAAGTAAGATAGAGAATTCTCCCCCACTGCCCCCCACCCCCCACAGTGGAAGTCATTTCAACCATCTGGATTCCTTCCCCAGGATCAATAAGCTTTGTAATTAAAATACCAGTAGTAAGTGTGTTTCTTTCATATGTCCTAAGGAGCACTCTGCTAATTTACATGATTACCAATTAATTGAGCCGTGTGTTATCATCAAATTCAACATATTGAAGAACTACTTTCCTAGGGTTCATTTAACATCAGACTGGTCATAATATATCTTCTCGAATATGATGGGAGCTGATATCATTAGCCATGATTAGGATCCGCATTTCCTCAAAGATGAGATATGTTCTAATGTCTGGATGCCCTGTTTACTTTATTTTAATGAGGGGTATGTATGTGTGTTTGTGTTAAAGTATAATAACTCTGAGATACAGTTTTCTACTCACACAGTGAAAGATAGATTGAGTAATCCTCTGCCAGCCCATGTGGTAACCACTAGCCACATGTGACCATTTCAACTTGAATTAAGTTACATAAAATTAAAATTTGTTTCTGTTATACCAGCACATTTCAAGTGCTCAGTAGCCATGTGTGACTAGTGGCTCCCATATAAGATACCACAGATGTGGATCATTTCCATCACCAAAGAAAGTTCCATTGAACATTGTCGTACTAAATGCTTAAAAATGCTTATGATTTCAAGAACTTTTATCACCTCAGCAGTTTTTCTATGTTTTGGATTTATATACTAACAATATTTCCTTTTTTTTTTTTTGCTTTCAGACATTGCCCTGGGACCTATGGACGGTAAGACTACAAAGAACTCTGTATGTGCTTGTGTCTTATCCCTAGACATTTGGAAAGCTTGTTATATTTTATTTAATTTGTGATGGAAAAGAAGACTCATGCATTTAATGATAACATGGTCCCCTAAAACACTCATTAGCCCCAGAAGGTTCTGGGCATTACCAGGACCTAGAGATAACGGTGAAGTGGACCAGTGGACCAGACTCTTGGATGACTAGAGGTCAAGATTTTGGCCTTGTGCCACTTGGCTGCTTCTTGTGCTGGTTGAGTCCAGACTCCACTACTTATCACCTTGAGACTTTGAACAATTTCTAAAACTCTCTAAGCCTCAGTTTTTCTCATCTGTAAAGTAAGGGTAATGACACTTCCATCAGAGTGAGGATTATGAAGTAAGGTGTTTGGAGAGTATTTAGCCCAAAATCTACTATGTAGCCTTAAAAGGTAGATATTACTACTGATGTTATTTATTCAGCGAATGTGCATGGATAAGAACTTCAGAATTTAAAGTTGGGAAAGAGCCACAAACAAAGCCTTGTGGCGGCCTCATTGGTGCTATGAAATTAGGAGCTTGGCCACACCCCTGTAGAGCCTCACATCCCTTGGGGTGGGGCCTTTGTCTTAGAAAAGCCCCAGGTCCTGTGGTCTTAAGAACCCAAATTAAGTTTCATACTTCCTTCTTTTCCAGTGAGGCAGCAACAGAACATTTGATAGATCTAGCTATTCATGATCTTCTGAAGTGACATTGCTACTTTATCCCCTCAGAACAAAAGCATGCCATCCCCCTTCCCTTCTGCGGTCTTAGGTTTATTCTGCGCTCTTTAGAATACTTGGGGTATCAGGGAAGGCTCTCAAGTGCTAGTGTTGCTTGAAACCACCGCGACTCAGCTATAACTTAGTAGGTTCTACTTGTGTGTTCACAAAAAGGGATGCATGGATTGACATTCAGGGCATATGGATTAACTCTGTCTTAATTTTCTTGGAGATTAAGGGAATAATACCAATTTTTTGTTATTCCAATATTTTATATCTTTAGTTGAAGCTGTGACACATTTTTTTTTCCCAACTGTGAAGGATATGGTGAGGGCGAAGGTGTCATCTAGAAGGAGCTTTGGCTGTTTCAGAAGACAGATTTCTTAGGAATTGCATTAATAGCAATAACAAGAATGCAAAATGATGGCTTCCTGGACATAATTGCTCACAGTTCTCAACTCTCTAGTTCCCAGGATTTTTTGCTTATGTGTAGAAAATGGATTCCAGGTGGAGGGAAGAACATCAAGAGAATCCACCAGACAGTCAGAGTGGTTCATATCAGATCATTCTCTATCCTAACACCCACTTTAAAGGAAGAACCAAGTGTAGCATGAGTTTGGGGAAGATTTTATTCTGACACTATGTCACAGCATGTGACACTGTAATTTCTTGACCTCTAGTGCTTGGTCTAATTCTGGTGTTCTCAGACTTGCTTATTTATTTGAAATCTTGCATGTCAGAATCTATTAAAGCAGGACTCATGTAAGGCCATGAAAAGTCTTTGTTGATGTTAGAAAATGACAGATGCTTTGAGTTTCGATTGTGCCTTTTCCATAGTAGTCTTAGATGATATTGGAACAAAAATCTTTTCTATCACAAAATGAGTTGTAAAATGTAATCTGAAACCAACAAAAAGCCATAGCCTGCAGCAGTTAAATACGGGAAGCGTGGAATTGTAATGTGCTAGTGAATTTTCTTTTCTTGTCTCATTATTATTATTTTTTTACCCATACAGACAAGCACTGATTTAGTACAACCGGTAGGTAAATTCTGGATTTTTTTTTTTTATTTAATATGCATTGTGTACCTGGCATATTATCTAGAATGAACTTTTTTCCCATGACTTTGATAGTTATAGATTCAACCTTTAGCCAATTAATTTAAACACTTTCAGTTATGTGTAACTGCTTCTACCCTACGAAAGAGCTTTGTGTTTCTCATCAAATCTCACCATGATCTATTTCATCTTATGTTGTTTTTTTTTCTTTGCTCTTCTGCATACTTTAAAGACTGACTCTTCAAAAAGTCTTTCCCTGTGTAACCTGATCATGGAGGAAACTCCAGACAGTGGGTTGGCCGAAGAAATTCAAAGATCTCAGATTGATATAGGTGCATTTACGTGGGTCCCTGACGCTAGTACAGACAGTGTCAGCCAGGAAATTCCCTCAGGCGGGTCTGGAGAAGACTCTGCATGCCTCTCTGAAGCAGAGCAAGACGCGAGCTTACCCACCGGAATGCTTCCTTCTGCTGACTGGCCCGTTGTGGCAGAACAGGGTGAGCGAGACCTGGGCCCAGCCCCTTCGGATGGCAGTGAACAACTGTCCCCAAAGCCTGCGCCCGAGGCTGGAGTTGGCATTGCCATTTGTATGGAGATGGGGCAGCCATATGACTTGTTTGACTCAGAGATGCCAGCCATGGAAACTGCTGGCCTTTTCAGAGAAAGTCTTGAAGATGTTAAAAAGTCAGATGAAGAGGAAGAGAAACAGAAGACAGAAGATTCTGTGGGGGCAGGTGTGGAGACATGTCAAAAGGTAGACACTGGAGCTATTGATGTCAAGGCACTAGGAGGGACAGAGGAGCTTGAAGAGAAAGCACATGAAAGTACAGGAAACATGGTGGTAGATCTTCTTAATACAGTAGGAAAGCCAGACCAGGATACCTTACACATTAATGAAGTGGAAACTAGGAAAGGTCTTAAAGCAAGCTATAAGGAAAATGTAAAAACCAGTGAAAATTATTTTGAGAAAACTAACTTTTTAGAAAAAGCCATGGAAAGAGTAGATGAGGCAGATGAATATAGTGAGGGAGACCATGGTCCACAAGATGGGATTCAAGTAGTAATCAAGAACTGTGAAATTATAGAGGGCTCTGGAGCTAAACCTGCCAATCACACAGATACCTTGACTCCACCTCTTCAGAACGACTCTGTGTCTAGTCCTGAAGATGCCAACCCTGAGAGATGGGAATTAGCTAGGAAAGATATAAAAGGAAATTTAATAGCCCCTCCCAACCATGACACACTATATCACCCTGCAGGGCAAGGTGCAGACGCTGAAGAAAGTCAGTGTGAGACTGTATTAAGTGCTCCCGGAGGTGACAGGGACAAACATCAGGCTGTTGTTTTATCTGTAAAACTTGAAGTAACAGCTCAGTCCAGGATGAACTTTAATCATTCTCTGGGCTATGATGTAAACAGAAGGGATTTGTGTTCATGTAAGGCAGAAGATGCGTCAATAGAGGGGTCTGAAAGTACAGTGACTGGGGACGGTAGTCATACCACTACCTTGCCAAGAATTGCAAAGACAGACTCTTGGGGAACAAATCCAGGTCAACTCCGGCAGCCAAGTTTGGATTCAGCAGTGAATGATGTGAATATGGGAGGATTCTCTGGTATACCAGATGGCCAAGCAAGTGGATTTGCCAATTGCCTGGATTTTGTTAACCATTGGCCTATCAGAGATATGGGAGGCTTAGGTAATTGCTTGGAGCATTTAGATATAGTTGAGAGAGAGAAAGTCCTGGAGGTGGACTTACTAGCTGGTGTAGGCAGGGAACAGGCCAGTGCTAGCTGCTGGGAGCACAGCCGGGAGACAGCTAGACCGTTGGTTCTGGGAACCTCCTGGAACACTAGCACTGAGAGTTCTGCTAGTTCTCGAGACAATGACATCAACAACTCAGATTTATCTGAAGATGAAATTGCTAACCAGAGATATGGATTGTTGTACCAAGAAATAGAGGCTGACAAAGACGAGGTACTTACCCCATTCTGTAGCTTAGACTAGCCAAAGACTTCTGTAGGTTCCGTTTTTCCTAATGTCTCTCACCTACTTCATTATCCATCATTATCTTCTCAGAGTCCTGACTGATCTCCTTGACAAATTGTCATGTACCTCTTGAAATCTGTGCAAACCAGACACAAATAGGTTGACAAAAAGCACAACAAAACAAAACACTCAAAAAGCTGAATGATTGTGCCAGGAATTAATAAGAGTCTATTTTACCATCCCATCTTCTGAGTTTATTCTTCCTACTTTCATTTTTACTGTTCAGGCACTAAAAATGTTCTAAACTAAAAGCAGCATAGACTAATTTACTGTTCCTAAATGGGTCCACTCCAATAAGAGCGCATGAAATGTTTCTGCCCAGGCCCACTGAAACTGTAGACTCTCACAATTGCTATCCATAAAAATGATATATTATAGAAAAACTGAAAAAAGCTTCTTCCAGATTCTATCAGTGGCTCAAAACAAAGAGCCAGTTAACCCCTAATGGCCTTTCTTTGGAATTATCTTCTCATTATTGAGAAAGTGGGTTTTGGTTAGTGCTGAGCTATGCATCAGCAATGATCTTTCTTTAAAATTAATCTTTTTTGTCAGCCTATTTAAAATAATACAGCATGGCCTTTTGCATTTCCTGAGCCCTTTCACACACAGCAACCTTTTGTATTATTTTTAAATTCGTGGTAGTCTTTACTTTCCAACTTGTCTAATGGATACTTCCTGATCCTACAAAAGTGGTGATGAAATAAATAACACACTATGATTTCCATTTCTGTTTAGGCTTCTGGTGGTTCATTTAATGGATTCACCCAGGTAAGGAATCTCTTCTTTTCTAGCACGATCCATCTGCTGAGAGTGATGTACATTGTTTCAATATGGGTCTCTGGACCACTGATATGGTATAATGATTAAGAGTGTCAGGACAAAAACGTGACCCTACTACTTACAAATGGAGCAACTGAGACAGAATAGTAGCAACATTATAGGATTCCTGTGCCGATTAAAGGAGTTATGCATACGGAGCACGTAGCCCAGCAGCCTACTACATACTAAGTTCTCAATGACTTTAGTTTAGATTTTATTGATATCATTAGCTGTACCATGGGTTTCTACCTTCTTCTGATTCCTCTACTTGAAATTAGAAGTTCTTCTGAGAGAGCCACTAGATTTGGCTGTTGGAGCAGAAGAGAAAAGGATTATAGGATTGTTTTGAACTAATGAGATGGATGTTTAGAAACTATGAGAGATTTTCAGGGGCCTCCTTCTAAAGATTCATATAGGAGCCACACTGCTCTGAGCCTTGCCCCCTCACTGGTCCTCCAGAGAGGAGCTGTTGGAGGTCATAAAACATATATTGGCTCTGCCCAGTGTGAAAGAGGAGCCACAGGATGGACTGTCCCATTCTCTGTATACATCCCAGCAAGGAGACAGGTGTAGCCCAGGTACAAGGCAGGCCACGAGACTACAGAGATCCTGGATTCGGTCCTGATAACCTCTTGAGGAGGAGACCTGACACAGAGGCTCTGCCTCAGAATGTCAGACATGCACAGTTTCTAATACTTTCAGCATTTAGAATTCTCTATATAAAGAGATGTTCACAATATATTCATAAATATAATTCTGTATTTAAAAATTTCATTATTTTCCCCCATGTTATCTATAAAAAGATAAAACCCATTCACACACCCACACCCAAATACAGATACCCACAGACACAAAGGGAAATGATAATGCATCTCTTCTGTCTTTGGAAAACTCTTCTGAAATGTTATCATCGGCATTGTTATCCATTTCTTACTTTTTTCATGCTGGTATTTCTATCAGAGTAATTAATGCACATAATTTAAATAGTAACAAATTTTTATATGGGTTTTTATTAAAGCACTTTAGACTTTCAGACGTCTCCTTCATTTCCTGTTTCTTAGAGGTCAATATTTTCACCTGCTTTAACAAATTCTCTGGGTTTAACCCATATGTGTGCATGGGTTTCTTATCATGCTACTTCCTGAGTTCTAAAGCATTATCTGTTGACCTGTCTCTGGAAGGTGAGGACTTAAAGTATTTTCCAGCTCCCAATTCACCCCTCTCTTCAGCTTCCTGCCTTCCTCTGGCAGAGTCCACTAGAGCCACGCAGCGGCCTGTGATAATATGATGGCCATGAAAATGCAATGAGCAGCCTAGTCATGAAGCTGATGTTTCATTTTATGCCAATTTTTTATCTTCCTTTGAGGTAATAATTGTGGGTCTTGTTTGTTTCCTGTTGGGTGGTTTGCTTAATTTTCTAGGTACTTATCACCAATTCAAACCCATACTCTATGGTTATATAAATCTCCTCTCATTTTGCTGAAAATATTGAATATTCAGTTTCTTCTTGAAGAAGTGTCCTGCCTATCCTTTGGATTGCTACTATCTGAGCTGGATCTTCTGTGACTGCAGTTGGCTGCACCAGCTGTTCTCCCAGGCTCTCCCCCAGTGTCGGTCCTGGGTGTTGCCTTTGACCTCCCTCCTGTCCATCACTGTTTTCTGGATGTAAATCATCCTCGTTTGTGGTTTAATCCCTCATTTGCGTAGAGTAGCTTTCTGAGAAAAGTATGCATGAAAGGTGTATATTTGTGACCTTACACATCTGGAACTGTCTTTATTCCTTTCTGTATAGATATACATAATGGACCGTTAGTTTGAGTATTACATTAGAAGTTGTAAATCATTTTTCTTTAGAATTTTAAAGCTCTGGCTCCACTCAATTCTACCTCTCAGTGTTGCCTGTGAGAAACTGTCCTTTTAATTCTTGATATTTGTAAGAAGCCTTCCTCCCACCCCTCCTCCTTCTTCTCTCTACCCCGCCCCCCACCATCTTTCTTTTCTCTCTGGAACTATGTGGAATCTTCTTTTCACTTCAGTGTTTCTGAGATTATATGGGGATGGGCTATGGGCTGAGTCTGTTTTCATTCATTGGTAGTAGGCCTTTTTAATCTGAAATTTTACATATTTTGGTTTGGGGAACTTGTTTTATTATTTCACTGATGATTTCTCTCTTTTGTTTTCTTTGTTCTCTCATTCTGTAACACTTCTTATTTTTCATATGTGAGCTTCCTGAGGTATTCTCCTGTATTCTCTTTATTTTTTTCTTTGCTATTTCCTTTTCTCTGTCATATTTCTCTACTTTCGCAGCTTTCCAAATCTTCTAACAGATTTTTCACTCCTAAAATTTTTTCAATTTCCAAGAGTTCTTTTTGTTTACAGTGTTGTGTTTTTTTTTAATAGCATCCTCTTGTGCCATGAATACAGCCCCTTCCATTATATCTCTAAGGGTATTCATAATCATTTTTGAAGTTATTTTTAGTGCATAGTCTTTGCTTCTTCTGCTTGCCTTTTCTTTTTTCTATGCCATTTCTCTCTTTCATATTTGAGGCCTTTCTCCACGTCTGGTGATGCTGACTGAATAGTTATATTCAAAGTGAAATGCTAAAAAGCTTACTGGAAACTCATATGAGGATAGGTAGAGCTCATCAGCTGTGGGCATTGTTGTAGGATTTTCCAGCTCATCTTTTCTGTTGGGGAGCACCTGAAGTCAGATTCTTTAGGCATTTTTTTTTCCCCCTGAGCTGGTCAGATTTCCCAGGGAAGATTCCTCTGGTCTCCTGTTGGGGGTTTTGGGAAGGGTTGAGAACTCACCTGATTACCAGTGTAAAGAAGATGAAAGGGGAAAAGGTGAGGGCAGGGTGGAGAAAGAGAGGCACATGTTCTCAATATTTATTATGTAAATCCTCACTGAATCTTTCTACTTTCCTAATATATGCCTGTGTGTCCTTCAGTCCAGAAAGCCTCTGTTTCAGCCTCCATAGAATTAACCTCAAGTCCTCTGCTGGGGCAGGCAGGGTCATGGCTTGCTTTTAAGAGTAGGTTAGAAAATCTCAAGATCTAATTACTTTTTTGTAGACTTTCAACCAGTTCCCCTGTCTTTAGTGCCATCCTGACTCCTGTTTCTCGTGGTTCTCTATGCTTCTAATTCCTGACCCACTGGGATTTCTGAGGAACAAATTGGGGTGATTCTTGGCATTTCTGACATCACCCTAGGAGATAGATTGTTTGGACCCACCAAATTACTCATTCACCTGCTTTCCAATTTGAACATTTTGCTACTGTTCTCCTCCTTCCCATTCTTTTCGTCTTTACAGGTTTATCACTTTTTTTAAAAATCCCCTTTATTGGGGGAGGGGGTCATGAGCAATATATGTAACCTTAACACTTGTACCCCCATGATATGCTAAAATAAAAATAAAAATAAATCCCCTTTATTGTTTTGTAGTTTGGATTCTGGAGGTAATAAAGGTTCATGAGTTCAATGTGAACATTTGTTCATTCTGTCATCTCTAACCACAAGAGGCCCATCTTTTTTGTCGGGAAGCCCCTGAGGTTAATTTCTATAGGTATTTTTTTCTCTAAAGGTATAGGCATAATTTCCCTAAAGATTTTGCTTCCTTTTTGTATTTCTTCCAGCTTGATTTTTTAGATGAATGAACATATTTTTAACTTACGACTCATAAATAACCCCTGGAAGTAATGCTTAGGTGATGTAGTAAGATTTAATTTACAGCATTTAAAAAGTTTAAATTTAGAGCCTATTAGCAACTAACTTCTAATTTGGTGTCAACATCCAGAAGAAAACCAGTAGTGGATGAAAGATACTCTGAAATCAGTGCCCTTAGTTTGATCACTCTCATTGTATTCTGCTAGCAAAGATTTATATTTAGAATAACTACTGTTAAAACTTACTTTTGCAATTTTTGTTTTAATGTTTTAAAGTAAAAAGAGACTTATAAAAACTTAAAATGTATTCATCAACACAAGTGATGGTAGCTAATTTAAATATCTTTTTTTAAAAATCTAATATTTTCTCCCCTATTTTCAGCCCCAGGATACTTCATTATTCACAATGCAGGCAGACCAGAGTATGATCAACAACTTGGTAAGTCGATTTGGGTTTGTGTTTTGGGGAAGTTGTTAGTTACTGCAAATCATTCTAGGTTTTCTAGAGTTTGAGTATCTAGAATGTGGTTCTACAGCTCCCACTTTTCTAGAACACAGGAGAGAAAGCATCTGTTAAATCTCAGCATGTCTTTGAATTTGGTCACTTCTATCATAAAGGCACAGTGATCCCAGCAAAAACTCAAATCTCCTAATTATGGGCCCCAGTAGAACACAGTGAATCCATCAAGGACATACACATTTCCATGTGACTGTAACTTAAGCTCCAGGATTTAAAATGAAATTGCCTCAAGAATCTGTGCTTCAAAATAGATCCTTGCTTGTTTCTTGAGCTTGAAACTCCCTCATTTCTCATCTAATCCCTTCATTTTATAAGTTGTAGAAATAAGTAATGCATAGAAGAGTTGTAATTCCTAATTCCATGACAAGTGAGAGGAGAGAAAAGCTTAGATAGAGAATGAGTAGGAAGCAGTAAGGGTTGCTCTTGGTGCTAAACAAGATTCTTAAAAGATCAGTGTTGCAGTTACCATGGGAAACCTTTTTTAGCAGCAGCTTACTAGTCAGGATGAATGAATTGACCTTAAGAGATGTCACTTGTAAGTTTGTCACTGCTACATTTCAGAGGATTTAGGATGTTTGAGGATTAGTTCACAAGGGTTATTTGAGGCACTACGGTTTTTCCGTGGGAATAGTGTATAATTATCCTAGCTCCTGCTTGAAATGGGGTTTAAGTAGAATGAATTTTTCTTTTTAGACTATTTCATTTTTAAGTAAGGAATTCTGTT